GAGCATACCTATCTCTGATGGAATTGTTCCTGAAAGATGATTGATGGACAAGTTAAGATAGGTGAGTCTCCAAAGGCTACCAATTTGTGGGGTGATAGTCCCATAGAGTGAGTTATTAGAAAGGTCAAGGGTGAGGAGATGAGGAAAGGAAGAGAAGTTAAGATTGGAAAGCTTACCTCTCAAACCATAACTCTTAAGGTCTATATGGCTGACCCGGCTGGCCTTGTTGCAACCAATTGCAACCCAACTGCAATGATCGCTTCCAACCCACGACAATAAGATTGATTGGCTCTGGTTGTCAAGGCTAGCTTTCCATGTCAAGAGAGCTATTGCTTCGGTCCCTTCTTCTCCAACTTTTCTAGTTGCAGAAGAAGCATAAGCAATAGAATTATAAGAAGAGACCAACATAAGGGTCATAAGAAAGACAAACAGGAAATGGAAAGGAACAAACTGGTTGGAAAGCTTCTTTGCCACGGATTTCATGGTTGGTTTGTAACGACAAAAACATTATTTTTCCTATTGGTTCTGATTATAAAAAGGCAAAATGTAATATACATGGCAAAAGTCAAAACAACACACGTGTTCTTGGGAAACTAATTAAAGATGGCTGCAAATTTGAGATTTGGGGAAGATGAAGTAAGCCTTGCTAAAGATAAAACTCAACCTCTCTTCTTTGCACCAGTGTAAGTTCCTTAATTAACTTCATTTTTTTTACTCTTGACCAATTTAAAACATCATTTGGTGTAGTTTAAATAAATATATTTATTACTTTAAAACATGGCCCCATGGCACCTCTCTTTGGCGTGAGAGAGCCATTAATAGAGGGTTTGTCCACTTTTTGCAAGTCAAAGTAGTATTTGAACATTGAGCAAGAGAAGAAGCAACGTTCCACTACATTAGTTGAGAGGTTGAGCTGGAAGGACATCTTTTCCTCCTATAGTTTTACACAATTTAATTTACATCTCCATTAATATTAGGAAAACAGAAACTAAACATAGATCACGAAACTGTGATTTTCAGTGTCCCATTCTATGTTTAGTTTATGTGTTCATGTTCTTGTACTAACACTGTAATTGGTTATTAGGTTTGGCAAGCATCATTGGGGGAGCTCCTTAGCATGGCCGTACTTGTCTTCATGATCAATGCCGTAGTCATCTCTACTTATCAAACCAACATCGCCGCACCAAATCTAATAATATCAATCCTCGTAGCTGTTACTCTCACAACATTAATTCTTTCCATTTCCCCTGTTTCTAGAGGCCACATCAACCTGGTTATCTTTTTCCTCGCCGCTCTCGTCAACCTTATAACTTTTTCATGCGCAACCGTCTACATTATGGCCCAATGCTTTGGAGCCGCTTTAGGGGCACTAGCACTCAAAGCTGTGGTCAATAGCACCATTGAGGAAACCTTCTCACTTGGGGGGTTGCACCCTCTCAGTCATTGGACTTGGGCCAATCCCTTTGGCTCGAGATCATATGCACTTTTGTGCTTTTTTTTGCTTCAGTATGGATTGCTTGGCGTTGGGCCATGTTGTTTTTTTTATCATCGGATTAGTGATGGGCCTTCTGGTGTTTATCTCGACCATGGTAACAATCACGAAGGGTTAAGTCGGAGCTGGGTGCAAGGTGTTTTGGGCCGACTATAGTGAGAGGAGGCCAACTTTCGAATGGGCACTAGGTCTTCTAGGTTGGGCCGACAATTGCATGTGTGGCATTCTCTATATACACCAAGGTCATTCCACATTAGCACTTCCATGCCGATGCTTGCTATTAGGTTTTTGTAATTAGCAATCCTGTTTGATAAAACTTCTTTCAGTTGTAATTTTATTCGTTCTTTTGTTTCAGTGAGGGTGTAAGTGTTTAGATGCAAATCCAACCTAAGTAATGGAGTTTGTGCTAACATTCTATATCTTAAGCATTCTCTGTTTGCTACTTCGCTGACTATGTATGGGCATCGAGTTGTTCGGTCAACTCACGGGGGTCCAAGGGGTAGCGTCCCATGGCGGGTTCGAGGCAGTGCCTAGGCGGGGTCGAGGGGCAGCACCCCCAAAGCCAAAGTTTTTTGATCGCTCGAGCGGTCATTTGTGTGCTCGAGTGGTGAAGAGGAACATCCAGTATCTCTGCCTGCAAACTGAACTTCTGGAAAACAAGTTTTACCGCTCGAATGGTGAATGTTGCGCTCGAGTGGTCGGACTATATGTTTTGCACTACCTTTACGCACACCACTCGAGCGATGATGTGTGCGTTCTAGCGGTCCTTGCGATTCTGTTTACTATATAAAGTGCGTCCTTTGCTTGTTTTAGGGTTTACCTGGTCTAGATTCTTAGAGAGAAAGAGAAAACAAAGTGTTTTATATTGGCGGGTGTTTTATAAGTGGTTTTTGATGGTTTGAGAGTGATCAATGGATCTATGAACGTCATATTAACATCATCAAAGGATTTGTTTTCATTATTTCATTCACAAAAGAAAGAGGTGTTCTTCGGTGGATTCCAAGGAACTTAAACTTGAAGCTTTGGTGGATTTTAGAGTGGCTCATAGTTGTGGATTCGATATCAACGTTGTGGATTTAACGTTGGGTAAGACAATTCCAAGGTGAAGACGATGATGGAAGAGGCACATTGAGGTCGCTTCAATTCGGGCATAGATTTGTTAGGTAATTAATGGTACACATGTGTAATTTCTTTTTGTTTTCTTAGTGGATTATTTTGTGGCTTTAACCTGTAGTTTTTTTTTATCACAATTGGAGGCACTCCAATTGTGATTTTTTTTTTCCACATTAAATCATTGTGTCGATTTGTTATTGATTGTTTGATTGAGGTTGGTATTTAGTTAAAATTGAAACATAATCATGAATCAATATTTCGAGAATTTTAGATTTTTCACTCACAAGCATGACTTGTTGAACATTTTGATTGATTTGTTTGTGTTGAGTCGTCACTAGTAACAATGTAACAATTAAGTGTAAAGACTAAAATTATTAGTAGATGTAGAAAGTATGAAGAGTTCTGTAAAAAAAACTAATGAGACTCATTGTAATAGGTAGAAAGTTACATAGGAGATGAAGGATTCTAGTGAAATATTTCATCCCATGTAGATGTTATAAGTGATATGTATGAAAACTTTTAATGAATGTTTAATATGAATATAATGAAATGGATCTTTCATCAATGTCAAAAAAGTCTGGGCATCCAAAAAAGAACTCATAAATTTATCCACAATTTTAAATTTACAGTGCCTCGTTGTGAGATCATATCATAAATGAATCTTAGCATTCGATCGTAAAATCTGAAGAATTTTCTCTCTTTTTTTTCTTCTAAATTTGTTTAACAAACACCCACTCTTGTGTTGCTGATCACAGAATTCTTGTTTGGATCCAGAATTCTATAGGAATTAGAAATAAATTGTACTTTTTGCATTTTGTACTTATTTTATTAGAAATTTTGTAGTAGTATGGAACAGCCTAAAAGTATTTCCTAATTTAAGCTAGTTTAGTTTTTCTGATTTTTAGATTGTTGCTTCGTCTCCGAGATTAATTGCATTTTGTTTATTTTTTAGTCTTAAGAGCAAAATAACTTTTTATTATCAATAATATTAAAAGTTTTTCGAGAGCTCATTTTGTCTATTAAACAATGATCAATGCAATCATTTTTTATTTTATAATTATTTTTAGTCTTCCCATCTATTTGCAATTTGCCCTTTATTAAACCCATTATTATTAATAAAAAATTAAAACCAAATTTAAAACAGCTAAACAATTGAATTTCAACCCAAAAGACTTGCATTTTAGCATTCACTAATTGTTGGACATTTAACACAGATTGAAGTGTCTTAAACATCATTTATTCATTCAAGCAAAGCAATGTACGAAAGGGCAGAGATATACAACACAAAGATAAGTGAGATCAAAATGTGGGTATGTACAAAAAGAACTAAAATACACTATGAGAAAGGGAGCTGTTATGGACCCAAAATTTGCACATAAAAGAATTTCTAGAAAAAATAACGTGTGGTCTAAATTCAATCTAAACATGAATTCTACCATTAAAGAGTTCAATTTGGACCACGCATTGTATTACTAAATAATTTTTCTTTTGTGTGTATGAGTTCAATAACGATAGATTTATTGGTCTGAGATAAGTGGAGAAGCTTAAAAAGTTGAAAATTCGATACCTCCAAACAATTGTTTCAATAAAATCATGTGGAGTGGAATTTGAATGGATGGAAATTTGTTGCTTCTTCTCTAAGATTAATTGCATTTGGTTTATTTTTAAGTCTTAAGGGCAAAATAATTTATTTTATCAATTATATTAAAAGTTTTTCGAGAGCTCTAATAAAACAATAGATTATAATGCAATCATTTTTTATTTTCCATCTTTTTGTAATTATTTTTAGTCTTCCTACTTATTTGTGATTTGCCCTTTATTATAAACCCATTACTATTAATAAAAAATACACTACGAGAAAAGGTGGTCAAGCATGGGTATTTCGAAAAACATGCCGTACCCGTACCGGGTACTTACCGGCTTATGGTATCTCGTATGGTACTTCTGCATACATACCGAGTACACGAAACATGTACCCACATTTTCCCTTCTTAATTTTTGGCGTACCTAGACGTACCTACTATATACCCAAACCACATCGTATCTCAATTGAAACAATATTTCCTTCTACAACAAAAATAAAACTCCTTTCCCTAGGCTTCTTTTTTATTTTTAGTTTTATACTTAAAATATTTTTAAAATTAAACTATGGTTTGTAAGTTATTTAATATATTGACATTTAATTTTAATTTATAATTTTACTTTTGACATTAAATGTTAATTGTAGGTTAAATCTTAACAAATTAAACCATTTAATTAATTTTTACATTACTCTAAATTAAAAATAAATATTTTTTTTACAAGCGTACCAAGCCGTACTCGTACCTTACTTTTTTTTAATTTTACCGTATCGATTTACCCGTATCGTACACGTACCCGTACCCATGCTTCACAGCTCTACCCTGAAGGCCATGCTCTTAAATGCTAATAGTTAGAAAATTTGATGCATAATGAAGTAGCCCTTTCTCTTCATCTTATTCACATCTGCTCTTTTGGAACAAGTAGATAAACTGAGACGGTGAAAAAAAAAACTTCAAAGTAGATGAGGGGGAATAAAAATGTAAAAACAATAAAAGGAAGATGAGAATGCTATCAGGATGTTTAACAGTTGACATCAAAGAGTTTTCCTAATGAAATCAAGTGGAAAGGATTCTGCAGAGGTGGCCTCTCTTTTGATAGTGCCACAGAAACTTGTTGCATTGTTGGTCGGCATTGTGAACTGGTGTGCAAGCATGCTAGTGCTAGCTTTGCAGCAAGGACCACTTCTTCTTCCATATGATTCCTAGGAGGTGGGAGGCGTGTATCCAAAATGTCTTTCAACAATATATCATAAGCAGTTGGCGGTGATGATGATGATGATGACAACGACGATGGCAACCGCAAAGATGAGGAAAGAGAAGAGATGAGATCGCTTGGATGCTTCCCCATGAACACTTCTAGCGTTAAAACTCCAAAGCTATAAACATCCAACTTCTCGTTCACTTCCATTGTGTAAGCAAGTTCTGCCAGAAAATCAAGAGCAAAGAAAAGAGAGGGTTAAAGGGAAAAAAAGAGGGAGAATTTGTTTGTGCTTTATTTTTACAGTTAAGTTGCATTGCAGTAGACCTACATGCTCTTGCAATCATGCATTATTCAGTCAAATCTGGCTCAAGTTAAAAATTTTAATTCAAGGAACTTAATGAAACAGGCCGTAAATGTCAATTTAAAGATGAACTTTGTATGCTGATTTGAAGAAACCATGCCATACCTGGGGCTGCATAACCAATGGTTCCTGCAAATGAAGTCCAATTGGATGAGTGAGGCTTTAAAAGTCTAGCAGTGCCAAAATCAGAGATGTGAGCCACATAATCTGAATTTAGCAGAACATTCTTGCTTGATATGTCGCGATGAATGACTGGAGGCGAACAATCATGGTGCATGTATGACAAAGCATCTGCTATACCTCTAACAACATTCACCCTCTTAGTCCACTCAAAATCCAATGTCGCTTCATCATTGCTCAATATCTTTTCCAAGCTCCACCCTTCCAAAAACTCATACACTAAAAATGAGTGTCGTGGATGTGAACAAAAACCATAAAGCTTTATGATATTACGATGTCGTATCTCTGTCAATGCACGAATCTCACTTGTAAAACTTCTTAGGTTAGCCAACTCACCATCATGTGAAGAGTGAAGTTTCTTCACAGCAACAACCTGACCACTTGGCAGCTCTGCTTTATAAACAGTGCCATATCCTCCTAATCCAACGCAATATTTAGAATTGAAGTCCTCTGTCGCTTCAATGATGTTTCCGTACACCATTTTTCCATCGTAGCTCCATATTGCAAACAAATTTTCATTATCTGCTCCTCTAGCTGTAGGCTCCTTTTCTGTGTTCTCCACCTTTTTGCACAGAACCAGAAAAATTCCGACAACCATAAGCAATAAAATGCCTAAAAAGGGTACCATGACCAAAAGCAGAACTTTTTTATACTTTTTCCCTTTAGGCTTATTGCTGTTTTTGGGCGAGCATGGCATCAAACCAGTCTTATTGCCACACAAACCACGATTATCTCTATATGCTTCATATGGAGCATCTCGAAAGGCTTTGGTGTTGGGCAAAGGACCTTCCAAGTGATTGTAAGATATATCAACAGACACCAAACTTGACATCCCATTAAAAGAGGATGGAATTAAACCGGACAACCTGTTATGAGATAAATTTAATGTCTCTAAGCTTTGTAATTCCCCAATTTGTCGTGGTATCTCGCCTGTTAACAAATTCTTTCCAAGATCAAGATTTTGAAGAAAGTGTAATTTCCCTATTTCATAAGGAATACCATCTTGAAGTAGATTTTCACTCAAATTCAAGTTCCATAGCTTCACACACTCTCCTAGTTGGCCTGGAATTGAGCCGCTAAGATTGTTCTTAGCCAAGTTAAGTTGTTCCAAATTAGATAGGTTACCAATTTCTGCTGGAATGTTGCCTGAAAGTTTGTTATCGCTTAGAGTAATGAAAAACAACATGCCTAACTTTCCCAAATTTTTCGGGATCTCTCCAATTAGATGATTTGAAGAGAGGTCAAGTAGCTGTAACAGAGTTGCCCCTTCAAGCTCAGACGGTATCTTTCCAGAGATTTTATTATTGGACATCTTTAGGCCAGTCAAATTATGGGACCCCCATTTTTTAGAAAGCTCACCATAGAAATTGTTAAAACTTAGATCTACATAAAACAAGTTTGGGAGTAACCTGAAATCTTCTGATATATTCCCTGTCAGTTGGTTTAGTCGAAGCCTAAGTTGGCGTAAGTAACTACAATTTCTCAAGCTTTTTGGGATATGACCTATTAAGTTGTTGTTTGATGCTCTGAATTCTACAAGTGATCCACCAAGGCATATATTCCCTGGTAGATGACCTGTGAGTTTGTTACTGGTTATATCAAAGATCTGCAAATGTGTAAGGTTGTTCAATTCTGGAGGAATGACGTCGGTGAGTTTGTTCTCTAACATTCTCAAATCAGTAAGGGACTTTAGCTTTCCTAACTCAGGAGGGATGGAGCCAGATATTTCATTTCCAGAAAGAGACAACACTGTGAGGTTCTTCAAGTTCCCGATCGTGGAAGGGATGCTTCCTGAGAGTTTGTTGAAAAAAAGGTAAAGACTGGTCAGGTTACTCAAGCTCCCTATAGAAGCAGGAATTGAACCTGTGAGATTGTTGGATGACAAATCAAGTTCAGTTAGAGAGCTTAATGCTCCAATTTCAGGAGGGATTGATCCAGAAAGTTGGTTTTTTTGAAGGCCTAGAAAGTTTAAGTTGTCCAAGTTTCCTATAGAAGCAGGAATTGAACCCCCAAGTTTGTTAGACCACAAAGAGAGATCACCAAGAGATTTTAACAATCCAATTTCTTGAGGGATCGAGCCTGAAAGTTGGTTTCTATAAAGGTATAAAAAGGTTAAGTTGGACAAGTTCCCTATTGAAGTAGGGATTTTTCCAGTAAGATTGTTATTTGACAGTTGCAGATCAACGAGAGAGCTAAGATTTCCAACTTCTTGAGGAATGGATCCAGAAAGTCTGTTGTGATGAAGGTACAAAATTTGGAGGTTGCCCAAGTTCCCTATAGACATTGGAATTGAGCCAGTAAGGTTGTTCCATGACAATGAAAGAACAAAGAGAGACCTAAGCATGCCAACTTGTTGAGGGATGGGTCCAGAAAATTGGTTGTCGAAAATGCTTAATCTGGTTAAGTTACCCAAATTTCCTATCGATGGAGGTATTGAACCTGTGAGATTGTTAGATATCAAAGAGAGTACGCTGAGAGAACTGAGCATACCTATCTCTGATGGAATTGTTCCTGAAAGATGATTGATGGACAAGTTAAGATAGGTGAGTCTCCAAAGGCTACCAATTTGTGGGGTGATAGTCCCATAGAGTGAGTTATTAGAAAGGTCAAGGGTGAGGAGATGAGGAAAGGAAGAGAAGTTAAGATTGGAAAGCTTACCTCTCAAACCATAACTCTTAAGGTCTATATGGCTGACCCGGCTGGCCTTGTTGCAACCAATTGCAACCCAACTGCAATGATCGCTTCCAACCCACGACAATAAGATTGATTGGCTCTGGTTGTCAAGGCTAGCTTTCCATGTCAAGAGAGCTATTGCTTCGGTCCCTTCTTCTCCAACTTTTCTAGTTGCAGAAGAAGCATAAGCAATAGAATTATAAGAAGAGACCAACATAAGGGTCATAAGAAAGACAAACAGGAAATGGAAAGGAACAAACTGGTTGGAAAGCTTCTTTGCCACGGATTTCATGGTTGGTTTGTAACGACAAGCTATGAGGAGAGTTGTTTGGACGGAGTGATGAAGGGCATGAAGTTATTTGAGTGCATGGATACGTATTTATAGATAGAAAATGCGATAAATAAAAAAATACTAACAAAAAAAGTGGACTGCTCGACTGCTTGAAAATTTGGTTTTTTAATTTATTTTTTATTCAATTAATTATTTATTTCTATCTCTCTCTTTGGGGTAAGAGGGCATCTCTTTCCTGGTAAGGGAATATCTCATCCATTAAATCAACCCATTAATCTTACGCTTGAAAAATTAGTTTAGTTTGAAAATTCTATTGTAATCATGGTTTTATATAACATTACCATGTGTAACCATATCGGCGATACCTTCCTACATTTGCCAATGTCAGATAGTATTGATCAATATACCGATGAACAACGGTTTTGAAAGTTCAAAGTTCTAATATATATAATGGAAGATAACGGCTGATATTTAAAACATTATGGTCATGTTTGTTTGGGTGGACATGAGCTTGGGATTAGACTAATAGTCTAATAAAATTATTAATCTGATGTTTGGTTAAATAATTGAAGTACGGATTAATTATTTTAAACTTGACTATTAGTTAAGATAGGATATATAATCCAACGGATTGGTAGTCCTAGGACTATTAGTCATGAGAATACTAATCCAGTCTGCCCAAACAAACATGACCTATATGTAACTCGTTCCAAGTTTTAATTTGAATACTCGTGTGAAGTATAGGTTCAGTTTGATGTCTATTATTTTTTGTAGTTGGTTTCGTGTACCTAAATATTTTTTTATTAATTTTTTTTATGACAACCAATCTATACTATATATTAAGCAAAATGCGGTTTTTAATCTCAAGCCTTGTGGGAGCTCCAATCTCCCAATCTAAATTTCTTGATTTTTTGATTTAAAAAAAAAAATCTTAGCATTTATTAACATCTTCCAACTCCCAAGTCTTATCCTCATAATAACACTTTAATGCATTAAGAACAAACATAAAAAAAATTCTTTGAAATCCAACACATATGAATTCCTTGAAAAGTCTAAACACATATAATTATTATCTCTCATAATAACACTTTAATGCATTAAGAACAAACATAAAAAAAATTTCTTGAAAAGTCCAACACATATGATTATTATCAAAATATTAAATTTTAATACAACATAATAGAAAAAAGACATTTAATTCCTTGAAAAGTCTAACACATATGATTATTATCAAAACATTAACCTTTAATATAATATAAAAAAGGAAAAAAAGAAGACATTTAAAAAAATATATATTTAAAAATCACAATTCACATATATAGATAATTGTAAACACAATAAAATAGGAAGGCATTCATGTCTACACGTTTTTTTTTATAAGATCTCCTCCATTATAAGAAGATAGCACTTTATTTCTCTCATCTTATAATCTATATAATATATTAAGCAAAAGGGAGTAATATATTATGCAATGATTGATAATTATTTAAAAGTATTCTCCAATTAACTATAAAATTTAGCTGCTCAAACTATAATTTAATTATTTATTAATCTATAATTCACGATTTAATTTCAAACCACCGAACCGCACCACACCGCGCACTTTACTTAAATGATAAAACCTGTTGGTTTTTTAATTAATTAATTATTTTAAAAGCAAAAATACAACAACTCCATAAACAAATTGAAGTAACTATCTCTAACCCACAAGTTTTGTGGGAGTTCCAATATCTGAACCTTAATTTCTTAATTTTTTTGATTTTTTTTGAAAAAAAAAACTTAGCTCTTATTAAATTCTTCCAAGTCTTTTTAACTTCTCCAATACACACACTCTTTTTAACTTTTCGCATACCTATTGCAAATAGTGAGTCTTCTTTTTGTTTTCTCCTTCTTAACTTCTCACTTCTACACTTTCAACTTCAGTAACCACGTATGCAAACAGTAAGTTTTTTTTTTTTTGTTTTCTCTTTCTTGACTTTTCTTTTTGTTTACTGTTTTAATATTGTAGTTAGATAGCGTATAAAAATAATTGTGATTTGTCTAGCAAATAAAAAATTATAACTTGATTTTTTAATATGATTGAAGTCAGATAAATATAAAACCCCCACAAAGATAAAATGTGATTATAATTAGTTGAATGATTCTTTTTTACTTAATGTAATTGTAGTTAGTTTAATAGTTCTTTTTTTCATTTATTTATTTTATTATGGGAAAAATGTGATGTGATTGTAGTTTGTTCAACGGCTCTTTTTTTTAATATGATTGTTGTAGTTAGTTCAATGGTTTTTTTTTTAATATTATTTAATCTTTTTATTTACTATTTTAATTTTATTTTTAATATGATTGAAGTTAGATAAACATAAACACTCACAAAGAAAAAAATGTGATTGTAATTAGTTCAATGGTTCTTTTTTTTTTTAATGTAATTGTAGTTAGTCAATGGTTATTTTTTTCATTTATTTATTTTTTTTATTATGGGAAAAATGTGATGTGATTGTAGTTTGTTCAATGGTTCTTTTTTTTAATGTGATTTTAATGGTTTTTCTTTACAATTATTTATGAAAAAAATATGATTGTAGTTAGATAACATAAAAATATTTGTGATTTCATTTGACTTTTTTCTGATTTGATTTTTAAAGTACCAATTATTGATAATGATTAGATTGTATTTTGAAAAAAAAAATTGTAATTGATTTTTTTAACTTACTGTGTTTTTTGAAAAAAAATTATTATGTTTTTTTAACTATCAATTCACTTAATTTGTGATTTGATTTTTAACTCACTGTGTTTTTTGAAAAACAAAATGGATTGTACTCATTAGGGTCACATAATGTACCAATTATTGATGATGATTAGATTGTATTTTGACCAAAAAAAATTGTAATTGATCTTTTTAACTCACTATGTTTTTTGAAAAATAAATTATTATGTTTTTTAATTATCAACTGACTTAATTTATGATTGATTTTTTTAATTATTGATGATGATTAGATAACATTAAAAAAATTGTGATTTGTATGATTGAAGTTATCTCCTTTTGTTTATAATTTGATTTTTTTAATATGATTGAAGTTAGATAAACATAAACACTCACAAAAAGAAAAATGTGATTGTCGTTTGTTCAATACTTCTAAATAATCTTTTTATTTACTATTTTAATAGTCCTTTTTTTGAATTATTTTTTTTATTATGAGAAAAATGTGATTGTAGTTAGATAGTATTAAAAAAAAATGTGATTTGTATGATTGAAATTATCTCATTTTGTTTATAATTTTATTTTTTTAATTTGATTGAAGTTAGATAAACATAAACACTCAAAAAAAGAAAAATGTGATTGTCATTTGTTTAATGCTTCTAAATAATCTTTTTATTTACTATTTTAATGGTCCTTTTTTTGAATTATTTTTTTTATTATGAGAAAAATATGATTGTAGTTAGATAGCATTAAAAAAAATGTGATTTGTATAATTAAAGTTATCTCCTTTTGTTTATAATTTGATTTTTTAATATGATTGAAGTTAGATAAATATAAATACTCAAGCGGGTTTTTAAGGAAAATGGGGTTTTTAACCCCAAGACCTGTGGGAGCTTCAATACCGTGAATAGCACGGGTGATAGACTAGTATATTATATAAGGAAAATAGGGTTTTCAATGAGGAATTTTGTGAGAGTTTTAATATCTCATACTAATTTTCTTGATTTTCTTAATGTTAAACAATTAAAAAAATCTGCCATTGGCTAACTTTTATTTGATAATCCCATATCGGAAAAAGAAGGAAAAAAATGAATTATTTTACTCATATAAAGGGAATCTTATACTCCTATCCCATTTAGTGAGGAACTTTGTGAGAGTTTTAATATCTCATAATAATTTTCTTAATTATAAACAATTAAAAAAACTCTATTAGTTAGCTTTTATTTAATAATTCCACATCGGAAAAAAAAAGAAAAAAAATGAGTTATTTTAATCCCATTCAATATTGTAGTGTTGTGCATGTTTCAATTCAATATAGTTTAAATTTTAAAAATTTTAATTAATTAATTATGACCTAGCCGATTAGGCTAAATCATTTTTGATTTGATTGATTTGTTGGTTTAATTGCGATTTTAGTAATTTTATCAAAATATATTGATTAGATTTGTTTGATTCGAAATAAACTAAAGATTGATTTAATTAAAGATTGAAAGACTGAGATTACTTGATTAGAAATAAACTTTCTGTCCAAATAATTGTTAATTTTTATTTTCTAATCTCACATTGGAAAAAGAAAAAAAAAAAGTGAGTTGTTTCACTTATATAAAGTGAATCTTAATAGTATAGTATTGTGTATATTTCAATTCAAGACAGTTTAAATTTTAAAATTAAAATAACATTAAAAGTTTTAATTAATTAATTTTTGTATAAGTTGGTTGGTCATTTGACCTAACCTATTAGGTTGACTAATTTTGGATTTGACCGATTCACCAGTTTAATCGCGATTTCTCATACTGATTTTATTAATTTTAAAAAATTAGAAAAATTTCTATTGGCTAAGTTCCATTTAACTATATAAAAATAGAACTCTAATTAGTTTATGATTTATTTTATAATCCCACATTGAGAGAAGAAGAAAAATAAAGTTTGTTTCACTTTATATAAGGAAAAAAGAGTTTTTAAGGAGAAGCCTTTTAGGAGATCCATACATTTATTTTAAAATTATTGAATTTTCTTAATTTTAAACAATTAAGAAAATTCTCATTGGCTGGTTTCCATTTACCTTTTATTTACAATCTCATACATCGAAAAAAGAAAGAAAAACATGAATTGTTTCACTTACATAAAGTGAATTTAATATTCCCATTTATATAAGCAAAATGAGATTTTTAGTGAGAAATTTTATGATTAATATCTCATACTCATTTTTTTTTGATTTTCTTAATTTTAAACAATTAAAAAAATCTCAATTGGCTAGCTTGCATTTAACTTTTATTTTATAATCTCACATAGACGTTTTGATTTTAAAAATAATTTTGTATGAGATTTTTAAATTCT